CCTTGGTGAGCCACATAGCAGCCAAATGTGGCCCGCAGGCCTTGAGTCTGACAAGTGCTCTATTTGATTGGTTTTATTTTGCATTTCCTAACTTTTATCCAGACAGTTGATCGTCCTTCAGATCTTACTTTATTGTTGGGAYGGTGGAACGGTGGTGTTAGTTTGTGTTAATGTTAGTGTGAATAGATAAATGAGAGGTATTTTGTTGAACCCAGAAAAGATTAAATACTGCAGCAGAAGTACGGCCGACATTAAGCCTTTAATATCATCACTGAGAGAAGCTTTAAAAGCCTTTCAGATAAGCGGCACAGCAAAAGTTAAACTCACAGGAGAAAGACTTTAAGAGCGAGAAGTCAGAACTAAGCAGCAGAAACTGGAATATATAAGAAGAGGTCAAAGTAAGTTCCCATAATGCACCTCATCTTTAACTTTGAAGTCTGCGCTCTGTAAGCTCCAGTGTTTTCTGCTCATAATGCAAGCTTTCTGTTTTCTCCTCCTCCAGAGTCACATTATACAAGATGTTATGCAACAGTTTTGTTTTCTTCACGACTACAACAAACGAGTTCCTGCTTTGATGAAACCAAACCCTGAAGTCAGAGCGGAAACACGCTGTTACCTATTAGGGAGTTGAGCGAGGAGTACGAGGAAACTCGTCGCATCTTGTCGATRGTTTCAAAGGAGAGGATGTACTCGTCGTTGTCGGGACTCCCCAGCGTGCTGCTGGCGCTGCTGCTGGTGCTCAGGTTTCCAGGGGAGAAGGCTGCGGGTACACCTGGATCAACAACAATTATTACATAATCACCAACAAAACAAATAACACCAAAACAACACTCTGAAATGTGAGCTGTGATCATCCTGGAGGGCTACGTGCTCATAAGTTTATTTGAGCTTTCAGGTCCCGTCACACGCCGCTGCAACTCACAGTCTCAGCGAACATTACTCTGACTCATACTGACTGAAATGCCATGCATCCTCCTCTAAAACGCCGGGAAGAAATGTGGGAATGGAGATTGGAGGAGAATAAAGAGGCGCTCGGCTTGGACCTCACTGATGATAAACTCCCCTGCACATTGGAACGAGCAGCAAGAACCGAGTCAGAAACTGTGTCAGCAGCAGGTCAGGCTCTTTAACAGAGAGCTTACATGTTCCTGAGTCTGACAGAGCGAGGAACTGTGAGGGCCTGATTCATCAACAGGTAACAGATACACTGAGGCCCTGCCCCACAAAGTGCTGAAACTCTAAACCCCAGGATGAAGCTCTAAACCCCAGGATGAAGCTCTGGACCCCAGGATGAAGCTCTAAACCCCAGGATGAAGCTCTGGACCCCAGGATGAAGCTCTAAACCCCAGGATGAAGCTCTGGACCCCAGGATGAAGCTCTGGACCCCAGGATGAAGCTCTAAACCCCAGGATGAAGCTCTGGACCCCAGGATGAAGCTTCATTTTAATCAGGAGTGTAAAAACTAAACGTAAAAGGGAGATTTGATGAGACGTGTTGGGGACRATGCTCAGCTACTACCACACTACAACTGACTGAGTTAGAGCCATTTTTGTGTTGGCTGATGTTGAGGTGGTTCCTCTGATTTGGACGCCTCCCTTCACCTGCAGCTGACTCGTCTTGTCTGCCCTCCCAACTCTTCCCAGCATGCTTTGCTCTCTTGTACCTTCCTCGTTGACGTTGAGGTTCTGTAGGCTTTTGTTCAGGTTGCGGGCCGTGGTGACAGCTCGGATGTTGGTGTAGGAGTTGACGGATCGCAGGCGAGGGATGGCCGGGCTGTCCCTCACCGGAGTCAGGTTACCRGGTTCTGAAAGGCAGGAGAACTTTTGTTTTTGCTCTAATCAAAGCCAAATAATTTAATCCATAATTCTAGACAGAAATTTACATTTTCTTTGTCAAGTTTTAAAACTTTTTTCACATCCAAATGCAAAGCGTGTGACTTTCCTTGGTTCATAAATGTTCTCACGATGGGAACTGATTTAAGAAAACCCAGAGCCTACGCTGAAGTGGCGGTGATGTCACGAACCTGCGATGGTGGCCGGTGACGGAACGGCGTAGTTCTTCTCTTCTTCTATGAACTGCAGGGCGACGGTGCAGAAGTTGCTCTCGTACTGAATCACCAGGTGACTGAGCGCCACCACCAGCTCCTGACAGAACGAAGAAAACAGGTACAGGTAATTAAAAACTCAAACTTCAGCAATCATTTTAAAGAATTTTATTGAGATTTTAACAGCTTAACCAACATAAATGGCACAGAAATCTGAATTTGCTACAGAGTTMTGGCCACACTGGAGGTAAATAAAACAAAATGGGTGTTTGCAGAGACCTTGCGGACCACCGGGCTGCCATCGTTGATGAGTTGCGCCAGCATCATGGCCAGGTTGTGGTCGATGGTGGTGGAGTGGTCCGTCCTCTCAGCCGAGTTCCCAACAAACGTTCCCAGAGCAAAGACTGCTGCACACCTCACCTGGAAACAAACACCTGTAACTTCCTGTCCTCATCCACGTGCCAGTTTCAAACAAATCCATCAAACATGTCAAATGAAGGTTTAGAGGTWTGGATCAGAGCCATCGTTACGTTTGCTTCTCGCTTTGATGGGTGTTTAATCTAAACCCAGAGACGGTTCTCCTGCAGGGACGGGTCTCATGAACCCACCACAGGACCGTCTGGCTGCGGTGYTGGTGCTGGCAGCAGACACGAGGATTCCTCGTCACCACCTTTTAATTCTGCCACGCAGGAAACAGATGTTCCTTCATCGCTCCACGGCAGGTGAAATGTTTGACAGCAACAAACGGCACCAGAATACTTTAATCACCTATAACTCAGTCAGCTTTMCAGACCCTGAGCTAAAATTCGGTGTGCTAGCAGCCGAGAGTCCTCATAAACATGTGCTCCAAGCTCTGACCAAAAGCTGGAAAAATAAACACGTTTTCCACTGCAAATTCCTTAATTTAACCTGCTGACAAAAAAACATTTTTGGCTTTTATTTAAAGATGGAGAAAAATCTATTTTTCTGTGAAAATCCTTTCTGTCAAACTCCAGTAATTTTAGATTAAAATGACTTCATCAAAGCCGTGGCATGGCTCCTACTCTCTTGTCTTCCTGTGTTTCACCTTGGTCACATCTGTCTGCACTTTGACTCAGATTTAATTAAACTCTGGTTCGTTCAGAATTTTTCCAGCGTTTTTTTATTCATTCATTTCATTTACAAAGTTTCAAGAGAAAAAAAAACTGTTTTTTATTATAATGAAGCCCATTTACTTCCCAAACATCCACCTTAATGAGAATTTTTAACCTTAAAGGGTCACAATTTGTAATAAAAAGTTGTCTTTTGTTCGTCAAATCATTAAAGTCCATTCAATGGTTTATGAGATATTTCGCTAACAGACAGAGACAACTACATGATCACCCATCTTTCATGGTGTCAGATCTCAAAAGCATTAATTTTACAGGAGCAATTTTTTATGTTAAGTTTATTGAGTTAAAACCTTGAGTTTGTTAAACCTTAAATCTAAACGAATAAATAAGCTTTTAATGAATTTCGCTTCAACCCCGCAGCCCGAACAGCTGGTTCTGCTGGAACCAGATGTTTTACAGTTTTTCTGGGTTCTTCACAGCACAAGTCCTAACAGGATTGATTGAAACGGGAGGCGAGCAGAGAGTCAAAATAAATCTGATTATAGTGAAGCACTTCAGCTGAGACTCCTTCACTCTGCACCATCACGCTGATTCTTCACCCAGCTGCTCACCTTTAAAGCCTCAGTTATTGACCAAACCCAGACTCTGCCCTTCAGCCCACTGAGGTCTGAAGAGCCTCCATGGTTTTTCCCACAATGCAGTTTGAGACACAATGCAAACTGGACTGGGCACACCCAGAACTCTCAGGAGGGATTATTTATCCTCTCTAGTCTGGGAACATCTTGGGGTCTTCTGACCACAGACAGGAGATGAAGACGGAGACTAYTTCTGACGTTTTAGCTCCAACATTTTGTATTTTTCTCCTGTTGTTTGATTCGAGCTCTCACCTCAGGAATGGGGTCCGACAGCAGGGTGTAGAGCTTCTCGTGCGCGCTGTCTCGGACTCCGCACCAGCGCGCCGGTTCGAAGTTCTGCCAGATGCGACCCAGGCATATGGCCACCCACTGGCGGAGCAAAGGGTGGGGGTCCGACAGCTGCTCCAGGCAGTTGGCGATCAGGTTCCCCTGCAGACAGGCCTCCTGCAGCAGGGGGGAGACGGGACCACATTAAAAGGTCTCGGAAATATAAAGTGAATTTAATGAAGGAGATGTTGGTCAGTTTAAAGTTAAATGAGCTCTGAGTCAGTTTAATCCTGCTGGTTCAGGTAAAACCGATGCTCATTAGTCATTAAATCACTGACCTGTAACAAGTGACTCAAAGCATCGCAGCAAAAACACTTCTCTAATATTTTCAATGTGCAGACAGTGAAAAGGGTAATTGGATTTTCAAGGTTTAAGTCAGTGTGATGGAATAAAGAAACCTTTTTTTTCTAATTCAAACTGTCTTTTTTTGAGATTTTTTCTTCGATTAAAAAGTATTTCTCTTCCTGGTTTTTGCCACTTTTGTGTTTCCGCTTTTCACAAGCTTTCACACTTTCAGTGAACAGACAGAACATAAAGCTATTTGAAAGAAAAAGAAGATGTGTGTGTGTACAAATTTACAAAATAAAAGTCTGACAAAGAGCTGGTGTGAGTAATTTTTGCCACAAAAGCTAACATGGAGAAGTCAACATCACATAAAAAAGTTGTTTAAAGAAAGAAGGCTGAATTGAAGATGTGGACAAAAAAGTCTTTTTTATGATCAATAACTGGTCCAAAAGTCTGCAGCGAGGTTCAGAACTGGATCAAAAACAACTTTTTACTGTAGGTGTCAATGGAAAAACAAAACTTTTTAACAATGGAAATAAAACTTTGAACAAACTAATTTAATAAAAAGGCACATCAGATAGTTTCCTGCGAGAGTTGGACTCCACCAAGGTTGTCCTTTGTCACTGATTCTGTTCATAACTTTTATGGACAGAATTTCTAGGAGCAGCCAAGGAGTTGAGGGGATCCTTTGTGGTGACCTTAGGATCACATCTCTGCTTTTTGTGGATGATGTGGTCCTATTGGCATCATCAGATCCTGATCTCCAGCCCTCATTGGAGCGGTTCACAGCCGAGTGTGAAGCAGCTGGGATGAGGATCAGTGCCTCCAAATCTGAGACCATGGTCTTGAGCTGGAAAACGGTAACGTGCCGTCTCTGGGTCAGGGAGGAGGTCCTGCCCCAAGTGGAGGAGTTCAAGTATCTCAGGATCTTGTTCATGAATGAGGGAAGAATGGAGTGGGAGATCGACAGGTGGATTGGTGCTGCTTCTGCAGTGATGTGGGCATTGTACCGGTCTGTCATGGTAAAGAGAGCTGAGCCAGAAAGTGAAGCTCTCAGTTTACCAGTCGGTCTACGTTCCTACCCTCATCTATGGTCAGGAACTTTGGGTAGTGACTGAAAGAACGAGATCACAGATCCAAGCAGCTGAAATGAGTTTCCTCTGCAGGGTGTCTGGGCTCTCCCTTAGAGATATAGAGATAGGCTGAGAAGCTCAGTCATCCGGGAGGGACTCAGAGTAGAGCCGCTGCTCCTCCACGTCCAGAGG